AAGGCTGTGTTTCTTCCTCCCACTCTGAATTAATTTTTATACTTTTGCTGTGTAATTTCCTTACAATTTAAACATCTTTCCTCCCGCTAAATCTGAATGCTCAGCACTGAACCAACCAACCAAACAAAAAAATGCCTAGCCTTCTGTGTGCCATTTTTGGAGGGAATATCTTGTGTTTCACTCAGTCTGAAAAGTCTGAATTAAAATTGGTCTGCTTCGTTTTCTAAAAACTTGTGTGATCAGTTTAACTACTGGGCTAATTGCAGAAGACTGCTGGATTTGAGGATGGAGCTACAGTCAGACAGCTTGGAATATACAGGGACGGAGATTGCCCGTGTCATTCTGTGGTGCTGACCTCCGATACAAGGAGGTGAGTCTCCTCCCTTTCCCTTTTAATCTCTGATCTTGCAGGGACGTGGGGATTTTGATAGGTAACTAGAATGGAATAACTAGTACCTCAGAGGCCTAGGAGGGACTGAGTCATGCCATATTTGCTCCATGTCAGCCAATATTGCCATATGCTATGTATAAGGCACGTACTAGGTTCTATAGAGAAGGGAATTGAAGGATGACATAGACAACGTTTCAGGCCTTCAAGTAGGGAAGGCTGACACTTATCTAAATAACTAGCATCACCATTTACTTACCAGTTGACCTCTGGCAACAGACCTAATTCTCTGAGGCTCAGTTTCTTCTACATACAATGGAGGCAACAACTTTGTGTCTATTCAGGGCACAAGTCGGTCTACTATGGAGACATTCCTAACTGAACATGGAGCCAAGAAGGGGGCCTTTCCTTCCCACTAAAGACCATGTTAAACTGCTATAGTGCCAGGAGTACAGAGACCACATGTGGCTGGGACCATCAGCAGATTTGTGCGTATTGGCAAGAACCTCTTTTCTGAACTGGTATCAGAACCCAACGGGTGGGTGTTTAGATGTTTCAAGGTCATAGTCATCTGACAACACCAGGGTGAAGCCTCCCAGTAGATTTATGAAAATCAGCTGGTTCATCATGAAACCGAAGGCTGCTAAGGCCCCACATGTTGCTTGGAGGTCACTTGTTTCCAAACTGTGATATTTCTACTACGACCCCCATTTCACAAATATTATTGATTAGGATGAACAAACTTTTTTTTTAAGTGACTTGACTTTAAAGGAAAATAATAAGTAAATAGAAGAACGATCAGTGGTCTACAGCATGGCAAAATTTTTAATGTCAAATTTGGTAACCACTGGGACTATATCGATGAAGGGGCTTCTCAGGAGGCAATGTGACTGAAAATATTTCCAATCCCACCTACAGCTCTCATTTCTCCTCTCTTGGAATCTTCTAGGTGCTTGAAATCACTCTTGTTTGTTTCCAAAGTCCTTCTGTATGTGTCCAAAATGGTCCTTATTCCATTTCATCTCAATAGTTTGTCTTCTAGTTTGCTTTCCTTGCCAGTGGCAAGTTCTCCCGGGAAATTGCCATTGTATTCGCTGCAGTGCTTGGCCCATAGGTAAACTCTGAAGAAGGAAAGAATAAACAGAATAAGCACACACTGTCTCCAGCTGTTTCCTGATGATTAGAAAGCTGTGTGGCCAGGAAAGGGTTGAAAACTCCAGATCCAGTACTATTCAGAAGGCCAGTTTGATTATTCAGGCAAAAGCAATCAATCAATCTATCTATCTATCTATCTATCATCTATCTATATCTATCTCTACATATATATATTTTAAAGATTTTATTTATTTATTTATTCAACAGAGACACAGCGAGAGAGGGAACACAAGCAGGGGGAGCGGGAGAGGGAGAAACAGGCTTCCCGCCGAGCAGGGAGTCCCCATCCCAGGACCCTGGGATCATGACCTGAGCCGAAGGCAGACGCTTAACGACTGAGCCACCCAGGTGCCCCAAAAGCAATCTATATTTTCTGACAAAGATAAGTTTGTGACTTTCCTGAATAGTTGATTTCTATTTACAAGAACTCTGACCGAGCAGCTTTACCCACACAATACAGGTGCCAACAGGAGAGAGACTCCCTGGTTCTTTTGCATTTCCCGTTCAGCTGATCCCGAGTGGATCTGGAAGTCAGCATTTGACATATTTCCATCCCTCTCAAACTCACCCACTGTTCCATTTAGATTTGCATTCTTGCCTTCAGCCAGCAAGATCTGACTTACCTATTGATATTTAATAGCCTGCTCTTTCTTGAATCAAACCCATTTCTCCAGAGGACTGCTGTTGTTAATGCAGTTAATTGAAAGGAATGAAGCTATGATGGTGGAATTATAGGAAGCTATAATGGTGCAATGGAAAACCCCCCTTAAGTCTTAATCACTTAGCCAACCGCCTGCTTTGCTTTCTTACAATACAATTTAAGTTCACTCTGGCAGCCAAACAGGACAATTGCAGCCAAGTTCTGCTGGCTAGCCTGAGCTAGCCAGAAATTAAGTGCATAGACTCTGAGTCAGACTGCTAGGTTCAAATCCCACATCTTCTACTTCTTCGTTGTGTGACCTTAGGCAATTTATAAAACCTCCTCTAACCTGGTGACTTTATCTATAAAACAGGGCTATGTTCTCTACCTCATCCGGATGTTGTGTTTGATGAAATAATCCATGTAAAGCACTTAGCACAGAACCTGGCCCACAGTTGGATCCAGTAAATCTAGCCATTATCATTCCATTCTCCCATTGGAATGTCCTAATTTCCTCAGAGAGGTACAGATACTTGAAATACAACCATTTATTTTGTAGGCAGGATGTATTACCATGTAGCAGAGAAAGTAGATAGGCTTTCACTTGCTGAATGACCATGCAGAACGCACTTAGTCTCTCTGGGTCTGTTTCAGATCTGTAAAATGAGGGGGAACAGGCAGGATTTTCCAGAGTTGCAAACTCAAATGTCTATAGAGGCCAATTAGGTAAAATTAGGCAATCACTGGGGACTTGGGCTGGGTATAAGATCATAGAGTGGCTGGGGGTTATGGCTAACTGTAGACCTTTCCTACTCAACGTGTGGTCCACTGACCAGCAGGATTGACAGAATCTTGGTGTTTGTTAGAAACAGCAGAATCTCAGGACCCACCTAGTGAAACCGAATCTGCATTTTAACCAGATCCCTAGGTGATCTCTATGCACATAAAAGTTTCAGAAGCCTGCTATGGAGCACACCATCTAAAGGCATTCAACTTTAGTTTTGTTTTGCTTTAATGTTAGCCACAGAAACTTTGGGCTTACAACAGGCCTTAGGCTACCAGTAAGTGGCAAGTGACCATTGTAGTTGGTGAGCTCTGATATGCTGCCAGCTCTAGGATTCTCTCTGAGAAACACCCTATCATTATAAGTTAGGGCTCTGGGCATGTGGATATAGAGCCAAGACTAAGCCTGGGTTGCTTAGGACAATAATTCCTGGAGTGGAAGATTCCTAAAAAGTCATCTGCTCAGCTCCCTGCCTTCTGACGGGCAAACTGTGATTGTCCCCACTCTGCAGATGAGGTAAGTGAGGCCCGGGGAGACCCACTGACCCAAATCCACACACCAGGAAGTGGTGGTGGTGGTGAGTATATGGCATCATATAGGAACAAGACAGTTCTGTGCTGTTAAAATCCGCGACCATTCTGGTTTCCAAGGCTTCGAAAGTCTATTAATTTCTGTACATTCTCCCAAGCGTAGTAATTGTTCTCCGTTTCTCCCAGCACCTCCCTGCCACTTCCTGGCAGCCCTGGGGACAGGTTTCCTCCTTTTTGGAGGAGAAGGCCCAGGGCCGGCTTCTGAACGGATATCCGGCCCGCAGGATGCAGAGGAGGCAAAGGCTTCATTGTTCCTTGGGGCCAGCCGCCCCTCCCCCAGGCTGTAGGACTCGAAGACCACGGGTGACCGAGGGCCCATTTCCCAGGAGTGGGACCTTCAAAGAAAGCAAGGAAGAGAGGCAGAGAGTAGGTCTGAAACGTCATGTTCTGAGCATACTGCGGAAAGGCGCTCAGAGCCCCAAGATAAACCCGTAATTTGAAAACGTATTTCCAACCCGGGCTCCGCGCGGTTACTCATTACGGCTCTCCACAGCCGACTCGGGCGATTCCGTTTAACCTTCTTTTAAATGGGAATGTTTGACTGTAATGGGGGTCGTAAATTTACGGGCTCCGCTTGCCGGAAGGCACTTTATTAGCAGAACGAGCCGCTTCCCACGCCCAGATCCCCCGAGTGCCCGCCAGGCGCGCGGGGGCGGTCCCGAGCCCTGGGGGGCGCGGTCCGCGTGGACTCGCCACCGCGCAGCCACCCCGCGGCCACCAGAGGGCGCTCGGACCGCGCGGCCACCAACGCGACCACCAGCTCCGGGTCGCCGCCGACTCGCAGACCCCTTCGCGCCCTCGGAGGAAACAAAGTACACCTTTGTCAGCGTCCCGGCGCGTGTGCGTGTGAGACGGCGCACACTGGCCCGCCTCAGCGTGTGCAGCCTGCCGGGCTGACCTTCCTCCCACTCGAGCACGCCCCGAGGGCCGGCCAGGACCCGCACCGGCTCCTGCCAGAACGCGGCGCTTTGCCCGCCGCCGCCGTGGCCTGTGGATTTCGCTTTCCCAGCTCTCGGCAAGGCGGGAAACGGGCCAGAGGGAACCCGGCCCCGGGACTGGGGGCTCCGGCTCGGCCGGGCCGCCTTTGATTCGCTCGCTGCCCCTCGCAGCCCGGCGCCTCTAGTCTCCGCGGGCCGCGCCCGCCTTCAGTCTGGGTGCGAGTCCTGGAGCAGGTTTCCGACTCAGGCAGCCCGCGCGCTTCTCCAGCTCCCGCGCAGCGCGCCCGCAGGACTACAAGTCCCAGCAGGCCCCGCGCCAGGAGCGCCGAGGCAGGAGGCGCGGCCCGCCTGGCGTCTGCGCAGTGCGACCACCCGAGCCTGCTAGTACCACACCCCCGGGAGGGACGGAGGGGAGGCAGAAGCATCCGAGGCATTAAAGCATCCGAGGGAGCCGGAGGGGTGGAGAATGGAGTGACAGAGAAACGCGGAGGGTGGGGGGTGGGGGGGAGACTGTTGAGGGAGGGGGGAGGGGGGACACAGAGGGAGGAAGAAGCGGCGGCGGCGGCTCCTCTTTGCAGAGGGGGAAAACTCCGAGGGATAAGAGCAGGAATAATGCGGTAGGCAAGGCGGGCTGCTCGCTCCCGGCTCCCGGCTCCGGCAGCAGCAGCGGCAGCCCGAGCAGCGGCAGCAGCAGCGGCAGCACCTCCAGCAGCTGACAGCCCCGCCGGCAGGCTCCCTCGCTGACCGCCGACTGTCAATGGAGCTGGAAAACATCGTGGCCAACACGGTCTTGCTGAAAGCCAGGGAAGGTAAGAGGCAGGGCGGGTGCGTGCCTGGCGTATTCGCCGCGGGCCGGGGTGCGGGTGTCGGGCGGCGTGTAGGCTGGGGCTGTGCGTGTGCAGGATGCCCGCAGTGAGTTGGTCGCGAGCAGGACATCTCGGAGAGCTGCTCTGCAGACGCTTCAGGGGTCTTGCCCTTGGGCTCAGATAATCTGGATTTATGTAGAGAAGGAGAAACGTCGAGGTTGCAGGGATTAGGATGCTAAAATCTCTTAGTTTCCGGCTCTAACCTTACAGACCGTGCCATCTCGGCAGCTGTTGAAAGGTCAGTTGGAAAAGCATTCATTCAGGAAGAGATGGGCAAACATGCAAACAAAATAGCTTTTCGAGTCGGCCCGGGATGGTTCTGTGAGTGTGAATTGGTGTGTGTGTTGGGGCGGGTGTGTGTGTGTGTGGGGGGGTGGGGGGGTGGAATTAGCAGAAGCCAAGTCTTTGCTTGCGCAGGCTGAGTTGATATAGGCTATTGCTGGAAACCATCCGCTGGGAATGTTTCTTAGGGAAATCCCGTCGTGTGGAAGGAAGCCTTTTAAAGGCAAAGTAAGATGTTAAGGAATTAGCCCGTTCATAGAATTACGGGAGATATGGCTATACAAATCACCTAGAGAATAATTCAGAATTTCAGAGTTGGGTTTTTCCCTTTGGTGATGGGAGGAAGAGATAACTGAATTGTCTGATCTGGGTTCAGTTAAGAAAAGAAAGGTAAGTGTGCTGGGTGCTTACGTGCGTTTTGGGTGCAAATTATTAGATTTCCTGCATTTAGCTGGCAGGAAATATCGTCTAAACGAAGTGGGTAAGAGCCTAAGTCAAAGCTGTAAACACACATTTTGACTCTTCCTTGAGATGAAGAGAGAGAGAGAGAGAGAAAGAAAGAAAGAAAGAAAAGAAAAAGTGGCCCAGAAACTTAGATGCTTCCCTAAAATGATTCCGTGCAAACATACATATTTAGGAACACCTGGAATTTATGTAACATCTCTTTTGCCAAGATTTGAGCTCTGGCGTGCAGCCGTTTTACAAAAAGGGGAAGTGGTTTTTCCCTTTCATGGGAGGAGGCTTTGACACCCAAGGTAGAAGGGAGCCTAAGTAAGGTCTTGACTTCAGAGGGCTACTCAGGGAGGAGTCCACGAAAATGCCTTACCTCCTTAATATTTTCATTCACCCACTTTGATGAATGAAGGAAGAATTTTTGGCCAGCAATAAAACGATTCATGTTTAGCCAGCTAGTTCCATCACCTTGTGGCTCTGTACACGCTCTGCGGGTTGGTGATGCACAGCCTAGTAACTCAACCCAGCGTTCACGTCGTAATTTCGTCGTCACTTGTCGCTCTAAAGCAACCGCTTGGAAGGTTTGCTTTGAAAACCCCAGCAGAGTTTAAAATATGCAGGTCCGTACCCCCTCCCTTGCTCAGCTTTGGTGTGAACAGATTTGTAGGAGTGGCTGTTATTTGGGGACTTCAGGTTTCTAAGGTTTCTAAGCTTCTTTCTTTCTACCTAACCTGCCATTTTAGCGAACTGGATCAAGGTGGGGACGAGTGGGCTCTCTCCCGGACTGGGCTGTGCGTCCAGGAGGGGAAGACGCGGAGGAAACAGCCCACCCCCTCAAGATCACAGCCTTTCAACCGCCACCTAGTGGTGGGACATGGTTGTACATCTTAGGGCTTGGGGGCTGGGAAAGTTTTCCACCCTCCCTCCATTCTGAAATTATTTCTTGGGAAATCACTGGATATGATGGTGCTGGAGGCTTTGCAAGTTTAACTGGTTACTCCTCTAAGGAGGAATTCTGTTCCTTAGATTCGCTGCTCTACACGTTCGTTCGCCTGGGGCATGCGTTTTTCTTCGCTCAGCATTTGGTTGCATCTTTTAAAAATGCTTTGCTTGGAGTTGGCAAAGTGTTATCATTTTTCTCTCCCAAATTGGTCTCTCTAGGTTTTGTCTTTTTTTTTTTTTTTCACCGCCTGATATTTTTGTTTGGCAGGTTAACAAATTGGTTTTTTCAGAACTTTAGGGACGAGAACTGCTGGCTGGAAGCTCCTATGGAATGACCGAATTACAGTGATTAAAAGTGCTGGAGAATGTGCCTTTCACTTCCTTTACCTTTGAAAGTCTTTTCAATTTCTCTTGGAGAGTTTAGGAGTTGTCTCCTGGTGAGAAAATAGCTCTGGACGATGCCTTTGAAATGGAGAGGGCCTTGTCTGTAAGGAAAGGGAGAGACTGACACATGAATGAGAAAAATTAATCACTGACATGGAAACTTCATTTTTTAAATTTGTGTTTCTCCCTGTCTTCCTTTCTTATGTTTAAAGAGAATTCCTGATTTTATGTGCTTCCACTTTCTTCTTATTGGGCCTTTATTAAAGATTTGAGCATCTATATTCTAGTTAGTGTGGAGGGTTTTAGAAATAAAAGCAACTTATTTTTCTCTTCTCTGTTGTCATATTCTTGAAGTCATTCTTTTAAATTAAGGAATTCCCCCCAAAAATCGTATTATCCAGATATTTGGAAATGAAAATTTCAGTTTAGTGAAACATCTAACAAAATTTATAGTATCCTTAATAATCTGAGTTGTTTAGAATGTTTACAAGCCCTTCTTACTTGAAGGCTCTTATGAAAGGTCACAGATGAGAAATATAACGGGCGTATGTGAAATTTAATTTACTTCACTTAACAAAATACACTGTAAACAATTTAAAATGTGGCTTTCAAGTAAAAGTCACATTTGTCCCAAACAATAGAGAAACAGGCCTTGAAGAAAGACAGATGCACTTTGCAAATGCTGTAAAGGAAATTGTACTTGTCCATGTTGGTGGGTAATTCTGGGGCCTATCTTTCATTATTGTTATGCATTCTTAAAGGCAGATGGCTTCTTAGTTCACTGTAAATTCAGATTCTTACCATAATAAAATATATATAAAGGGAAAACATGAATATCTCAATAAAGTAGAAAATCTGTAAGTGGATTCGAGTAAAATGAGTCATTATAAGTAATTATAAAACATAGCAAACAAATCATACCTTTGTGAAAGTTGTTTTGAAATAAGAAAAGATAGATCTGGATAATCTAGGTTCAGAATTTTAAACCACCCAAATGTATCTTGTGGGCTATTTGTCCTGGTCTCATAAGAAAACATTGACTTGATTACTCTTAGGAACTTTAGGTTACTCTCCTAAAAATTAAGGAAAAAAAGTTAAGGAAAAAAAAGAAGTTGAGACTAAATTCATGCCAATTTATGGAAATGAGCTTAGTGATTAAGCATTTAATGAAAAGAGACCCAGACTATCTATTTACATTTTAGAATCTCAGAAAATTGGCAAGCAAACTGGTGTCGAAATAATAGTGAGAAAGAGTGTTTGCAGTGTCTTTTGTGTGTCTCTTTTTGGTTTTATTGTTGCAGTAGAGGTTTTTATATTTTTCTCATATTCTAGATCTCTTGCCTCACTCTTGAGTGAACCACGGTGAGAAGCAATTTTGCAAGGGCTCACCTTTCTTCACAGGCCAGCCATCGCCATATCTGATCAATAAAGATGACAGAGGGCGTATTGATCACATTTTCCTGAGCATGATCCCAGCAGGAACCCAGAAGTCAGAAACGTGATGACTTTGCCATTGGTCACAATTGCCGAGAAGCAGAATATATAGGAACTTTTCTCTCAGCTAACTCTGTGGCTTGTTGGCCTGGATCTTCCCGATGATCAAGGTTAGGGGCCTGGGAAAAGGTGAAGTTCTGTGCAGGCAGAGGCTAGGGATGGTGGGAGGAGGGAGGAATCTACATCCAGCCGGTGAGGGGCAGGCTCTGCCAGGACCGACTCAGTATTCCACAGCAGGGCTGAAAGCCCCTGCTCTCTTCCCTCTTTCCCTTGTACCCCTAGTTCTTGAGGATGAAACTGACACGTCAGTATATTTCGTTATTAGAACACTGGAATGTCTCTGCAGCTTACAGCCTCTTAACTGCCACCGGCAGGCAGCATACTTATTCCTCCCTGGGGCTTCTTCCTTCAATCTAGCTGTGCAGGAGAGCAGTGGGTGTTCACCCCCAGCGGGAAGCTGCCTGGCCTATTAAGTACAATGCCGTTAAATGAAACTGCCTTTTATTTTTCCTAAGTTTCTTTTCAGTACTGACGACGTTGAGATAGAGAAACCAAGAGCAATGTTTTCAGAAGGCCTTGCTCTCTTACAGAAAGATTTCAAGTGATGATTTTAATTAATCCAGCGGCCTGTTTTAAAAATCATCAGATTAATGCCCACAAGACTGTTATCTTTCAGTAGCTTAGCTGCTGCTTATCAGATTCTAAACTCCAAAGTGCCCAAACTCTTCCAGTGCCCAAACTAATCCTTGTTTAAATGATGTCTTCGGAAGCTGTAACTCTTGTAGTGACTTGAAAATGATAGCCTTTGGGTCTGGGGTGAAGATTTCAGTAATGTTTAAGGGGATTCAGGAAAGAGCCCAATATACGACCAAATCCACCTCTACCAAGGGCTATTCAACCCATACCTGAGCACTTCCAGTCTTCTTGGGAAACCATCCAGGACTGTGGGCAATATTTATTTTTATTTTATTTTATTTTATTTTTTAAATTTTTTCAGTAGGCTCCACGCCCAGCCGGCAGCCCAAAGTGGGGCTTGAAACCACGACCCTGAGATCAAGGTGTGAGCAGAGATCAAGAGTCCAATGCTTAACCGACTGAGCCACCCAGGCGCCCCTATGGGCAATATTTAAAGCTCATATTTGTTGCCAAGATATTTGTGGCTCAAGGTAAAGCATTATAATATCTAGACATTTTTTGAAATAAAAACAGTCTTATGGTTACAAAAGGATATTACCACAGTCGACAATGCAACTGAGCAGAAACTTGAGAGCACCGTAGACAGTGACCACAAACAGGTGACCCCATAGAAAAGGAAATTAGGAGGAGTGCCTGGGGGGCTCAGTCAGTTAAGCGTCAGACTCTTGGTTTCTGCTCAGGTCATGGTCCCA